CAACAAGTAACAGCACAGTACAACAGATCATTATTATGCTATTTGAAAATTATAATTTTTAGTTTTTACAGGTAGTAAACAATAGCTTTAAAATTTGGCTTACAATCTCATAAGTGCATACATTGATTGGACAAGCGTCGCGAAGCGTTACTATTATTTGTTTAGTTATGTTCAATTTATTCAATATATGTTCTGTGCTCAAATAATTGTTTTAAACAATTAACACTAAATAAGGAATTTTGGATTTAATTTGCTTACTATTTTAATTCTACAGTAAATATTTAAAATGTTGCTTATTTTACATTTATAACTAACTTTTTTTTATTATATAAACAACTTTATTAATAAAAAATAATACAATAAAGTGGACTGTGTTTAAATGATTAAGATGTCTAAAGACTAGATGTTTGTAAACAGTGTTTTAGGAACCTACAACAAAATCACAGTTAAGTTTGAAATTGTATTAATTATCAACTTAATTTAAGCCGGTAGTTCCAAACTGTGATTCAAAGTACTTTTACTTTTTTTTCCGTTTTCCCCATCCTGTTGGCAAAAAAGATTTGATTTTTCTGTAACGGTAAATTTTTCAACATCATTGATATTTCATTTTTTTTTAAGTCAAGTTTTTTCTTATTAAGATCCGTTAATAAAAATATGGATCAATAGTTTGTGACTCAATTACACAAAATCACACAGTGATACTCAAACTTCAGAAATAAAGTTAGGGTTTGTGTCACTCAAACATTAAATTATCAGAACTTGTTCTTTTTATTTTATTAATAACTATAACATTAAATAGTTTATATGTTTCTAATCTTTTTATTAGTACTTACTAATTATTATTATAACTTATAAGGTGTATAATGTTATAATAATAGTGATTCTAAAGCCTTTATAATAAAATATGTCTGTTTCAAAAATTTCAAATTGAAAAGTTAATTCTTTTACAGTTGAATCTGCTTATTTTGATTTTATGTATAATCAGTATTTTCTTATTTTTATTATTTTCTTCACTATTTAATATCTAGAAAATTAAAAGCTTAATAGATTTTAGTTGTTTAAAAAGAAAACCATTATTTGATATTTCCTTGTGTACTATACAAATAAAAGTATTGACATTATTAAACTATTATAACGGGTACGTTTTACTAAGATTATGTAAAAGTGGCAATATTAAATCAAAAATAGCCTTAGCTAAATTGTAGTATCTAAATTTAACAATTATTCTGTAATAAAACACATTTGTACGCGACAAGTTTGTCTGATTTTATACACATACATACATGTATACTATATTTATGTATAAATACAAATAATTATAAAATCAATTATACTAACTTATAATGCATAGTTGTTAAAAATAAAATTTGTTTACCTTTAATGATGCAAATAATGGTTAAAAGAATATTTGCTGTAATGCGTATGCGACAATTTTCCTACTTTAAAGAGTTAAAAAACAATTTTTAATTATTTTTACTGTGTACTTTACAAAATTTGAACATTGATAACACATAGTCAAACAATTGTGTTGATAAATTTCAACGACAAATATATAGTATAGTATAACATTTAAAGAACAATAATAATCTTTTGTCTGATAATATAAGTATTTAACTTATAAAATATTCATAAACTAATTATTAATACAACAATAAATTTAAAAATTACAAATGTTACTATTTTGAAAATATTCAATCAAAAATATTAAACAAAAACAATATCTATACATTTGAAATTGTTCAACTTCTATAATACTGATTTAAATTTTTTTCTTTTAACAATCGTTGGTAATTAAACAAATCTAACAAAATCAAAGTTCAATAAATAAAATTAACTATAAGAATTATCTTAGGCAAGTTCAAAAAAATAATTTACCTGATTTACTGAATTCATTAAATACATATTAATAGAATTACTACTTTTTTAAAGAGAGAATTATTGTACATTAATAAATTTGAATATAAAATTTAACATTGATAGCCAAATACCTGTGTCAGTTATAGCTAAAACTTTATGATAAAAAATCCGTAATGTATGTCAGACACACAATATATGGGTTATATCATTGTAAGAAATAACTAAACTGAAAGCAGACATTTGAACTACCTTAGATAAGTTTAATCAAATAAAAATAATATACTTACATATTATTATAAATATTGGTATAATCAAGAAGTGATTCCTTGTATGTAGTAGTATGAAATTCATACATTAATTACTGATATTTTTAAAAATAAATGAAACGGGTCTATGAGTATTATCAACCCACATACACAAATACATGCATAAATAATTATTTTAAGTTAACACAACACACTTTTCATTCAAATTGCTTAGTGTTGATATTATACATTCACATGAAAAAATGTCACATTAGAAATAAATGTTTTATACTTATAATTTACACCTTGATATATAATTGTAAGGTCTTGGATCCGATTGGAAAGACATTTCCATAGCAATTGATATGTCATACTCAAAACCAATTTTACATGATAACATTGGTTTTTAAAAAATGAAATATTTTCAGTAAAAAAGCATTCAACCTAAATTAAAAAAGCTAATTGAAATCGTACTGTATTAAATTACCCATTAAACTCTAATAAACTTACCTATTAAATTAATGCTTTATATTTATAATTTACACCTTGATATAAAATTGCAAGGTCTTCAGTTTTGGGTCCAATTGAAAAGACATTTCCATAGTAATTGGTATAGCCTATTCTCAACGCCATAGATATTTCTGTCATGATAACATTGATTTTTAAATGATAAAAGATTTTCGGAAAAAAGCATTCAACCTAAAATAAAAAAGCTAATTGAATTCGTATTGTATTAAATTATCTATTAAACTTTAATACACTTACCTATTAAATTAATGGTGTGTCCAAGAATGTAACGTCAAAAAAAAGTCGAGAGCAAATATTATCAATTGATATATTTAAAAAATTATAAAATAACGAGTTATGACATAACTACAATAAGCATGCTATCATATTTACTATAAAGTATAATGTAAATTTACTAACATTTTTTAATTAAGTTTGCAATTTCTCATTTCACTAATGGAAAACGTGTGAACTTCGAAGTCGAAATTTGTTAGCGATGAGGTTATGTACAAATAATAAATATAATGCGATTTTGTACAAATAATAAAATATATTATGGGTACTGGTCACTCGATTATTCCGTGGTAACTGATGCATAGTTTAGATACTAGATTGTTATCCGAGATAACCAGCTAATGACTAGCTCCAGCTAGATTAGGTTAAAGTGTAAAGTCCGTTATCCGTAACAGTCTACCTTTCGTCTAATAATGTATGGTTATTTATTATATCTGATTATGATACGGAATGCGTTAACATCAAATTATTATTATATTTGATGTGATGACCGTCGTAATAAAACTACTTGTCTTTGTCGAATCGAATAAAATTATTAAGAAATATAGACAAAAATTCAAATCTTTACAAAGTCACAATCAGCGAACAAATGGATGAAAATTAAAAATTCAAACGCTAACATTTTTTTAGATTTTTTGTCTTTATATTTATGGAATTTAAAACATATGATCCCATTTGAAAAAACGAGGTTCGTACTTATTTAACGTATAAGGGTTGAAGATAAAATTTTTCTAAATATTGAAAAATGTAGCTAAATATGTACCTAAAATTTTAGGAAAAAAAAAATTCGCAAAATATTCATACTTTCAGAGAAAATGAGTGTCTTACGTTAGTTGGATCACCCTGTATATTAAGAATGTTAAAACTATTAAATTAAGACAATCAGTCTGATTTGATAATCTCACCAACATAAAAGCAAGATTACATTAAATTACATTATATATTTATTAAGTATGACGTTTATACGATTATGACCCTAGTTTGATCATTTTTATTATTACAACAGAATTGTTTAATTCTGTTTAATCCTACCTGTATTCTTTAACTACAGAATACATATGTAAGATGTGGTAAAACTAATTTATACTTGACAGCCAAATTTTGAAATCGTCAACTAATTTAGGTAAAAAGTAAAAATAATGTTTAAATATCAACAATTATTATTGGTAATATAAACAATTTGTGGGAAATTTCAATAAAATTATTATTATTTTATACCAAATAATATTAAATTATAACATATACTTATAAGTTATGTTTATACACTTATATAATGTAATTTTTTATGAATTTTACATTATATTATTTTACGTGTATAGCGAATACGATTAATTAGAGAATTGATAATTATCTAACTACAATTTGCAATAAAGATAAGAACCTGACTAAAGGCTATGTTTTTGATATTAAAATACGAAATTTCTCTTGGCGGGTTTTTGGTAAAACGATGTTGGTACTATCTGTAGCATTACACATTTTATAGGTTATGTAACATTTATTTTTTATCACGCGTTATCATTTTTTCGAAGAACTACCCCAACTCTACCTAATTGCCAACTGGTATCACTTTTCAAAACGACAAAAAATTTAGAAGTGCTTTCCCCAGAAAATTGGCCCGATAATATGGATATTCAGTATGGTGATGAAAGATTCGACGTTTATCACAGGTGTTTCAAATTGATCAAGTTTTATCTGTTCGAGGTTTTCGTGAGTACAAATAAAATAAAAAAGTTAACATTGATATTAAACCTTTAATGACTTTAGCTCAATGAATATAATTGTAAGTCTTATAAGGAGTACATTAACATCTAGTCATCAACCTAACTAAAGGCAATGTTTTTGATATTAAAATACGAAATTTCTCTTGGCAGGTTTTTGGTAAAATCGATGTTGGTACTATCTGTAGTATTACACATTTTATAGGTTATGTAACATTTATTTCTTATCACGCGTTATCATTTTTTGGAAGAACTACCCCCAACTCGTCCGGGGGCCGGGGCTTGATTTGTGATTAGATACACACAATATTACGTTAATTTTTTTAACGTTATCGCGTTATTATTTTTATTTTTTTATCGGCCGCTGATCACTAATAAAATGCCGGAAATGTTGATCAACGCTGTTCAAAAACGTCCTGCATTGTGGGACAAAAGATGTAAAAACTACCATAGCCGCTTGATATCGAACCGTGAATGGGAGGAAGTTGGCAAAATAATTGGTACTACAAGTAAGTACAAAAAACATATTATTGTATTCAAACAATTGTAATTTACATTCTTTGTACATGATGTTCAAAATACAATTTAAATTTTTCCCTCACTTGCACGGCTGCTCGTGATGAAGCATTAAATGTCATTTGTAAATCGCCTCGTAGTGTTCTTGGTATATTTCGGTATGGTTCACGGAATAATACAACTTCAGTCTCACTTATTGATTCAAGATCACGTATGATTTTATGTATTAAAGTTATAGCTTTCACAATATGTACTGCGCTTTCTACACTGGTGGTTTCAATAGGTTTCTGCAGAATTCTGAATTTAGAGTTTATAGAACCAAAAGAACATTCTACCACCAGTTTTTTGCCCGAGATGACTGGTTGTTATAATTATCTTTTGCGTCTCCTTTAGTCTTGCTATTTCCGGAAAGGTCTCTTTACCATAAAACTCCACATACACCATTTCAAACTTATAATTTGCATCGGTTACAGCTAATAATCCGACGAAAAAAAAAAAATTTTTAGCAATAATAAATGAAACCAGGTTTACTGGGCTTTTTTATACGAACGTGTTTCCTGTCAATACTTTCCTAAGCAGTTAAGAAATCTATCCCAAAAACTTTGCGCTATTTTTAGTAAGTCATCTCCTGTAGGCTCGGGCATGTGCTTTGTTAATAATGTGTCCATATAACTTTGCACACTTCTGGAACGATTGGGGAAATAGCCTTTTATTAAATTCTGAAAGAGAAAGCCAGTTGCCGAAAACTATACCTGTGGCTAAGTATCGGAAATAAATTATTAAAATAAAATATAAAGTAATTATGTCAATGAAATGTTAGGTTAAATTTTGTTGAAATTTCGCAAAAACACGAAAAATGGTTAATTATTTTATTATTAAAAGTTCATACGACCCCTGGATATATCATTCACCAACTGTATCAGCATTTTTCTTATTTCAGCTGACGCAACCAAGAAAAATGGAAAAATTTAAGGGACACATACGCAAAAGAATGAAAACAAATTTCAAAGCCTCGTTCGGGAGTTGACGACGACAATAAACCGGTGTATACAGGCACCTGGTCATATTTTGAGTCCATGTAATTTTTAAAAGTTATTTTGAAACCCCGAAAACCAGAAGAAAACATTAAACTAAAACACTCCGCAGAAAGCTATTCCATGGGTTTTTTGGAGTCTCCATGTGCTAGTCGAGTAGACGATATGGACACAAATTTATAAAGGGGACTTTGGGTTTTACTAAAGTGTAGAAACGGGGTAGCTTCCCGTTCTCAAGCCGAGATCCACTTATTCGATCGCATCGGCGACCGTTCGGTCTAGAATTAGCCCCTAGGCGAGCAGGCTCGTTACAGTGCCAAGTCATATTACACATTTTTTTTTTTTTAGGAACATAGCTCACAATTGTACACTTCTCTTGGGAACCAAATAAGCTTGAATATATTGATCTCCCTTTGAAATTGGATACATTTATAGGAAGTTCTCTTTTGTTTTTTCTCTATGTTCCCTAAAACAGTTAATTTATAATCTTCAACATTGAGGTTGCCAATTTGTAACTACCAAACCAATTATCAATGGTAATATTTCTATTAGAATTGTAAATAGGTACACATAAACGTTTAACAACATCTTCAGGTTTGTTGCTGAGTTTATATGGTCCATCAGGCTGTTTACCTGCATAAATTTCTAAATTAGAAATATGTGCTGTCCTTAAATCACATAAATTGAAAACTACAACGCCCTCCAAATGCAATTAACATTTCATCTATAGTGACATATTCACCTAACGAATAATGAGTTTTACAGTTTAAATTTAATGAATCAAATATACTGCGAATTGGTACCAGTTTATCAAACTTTTGCCTGTCATTTCTGGTTCTTTTATCATCAAATCAGATACACTGAACAAGATATCTAAACCTATTTAATGACATTGTATTCCAAAATATATCTAATCCTGTACCGTCTCTTTGGCAAAATTAATCCAAATTTGTCCTTCCTGCTTTATAAATACCAGCTAAATAGAATAATTTTTTTCAGGGTATCCTCCCTTAGGCGATCGTCTTACCAGACTAACGGGCTCGCCTACCCAGAGTGCCTCTTGGTCTGATCCCTCTGCTTTGGTCTACTGACGTTGGGTGACCCGTTGCCAGCAGCCCTCCGGGTCGTCAGGATACACAAGTCCTTTTACCACGACAAGGTGGACACTCACGGAAGGGAATTCGCCAAACGTCACCATTTAGTTTAGACCGGAACACTAACGCGGTTACTACTGTGGGTCTAGTGGACCGAAAATTATTTTCAAGTATGGTTTATCAACAAACAACTACACATGATTACCGGTAAATGATAAAATCCTTATCTATATCCTAAACAACGAAGGCACTGAGAACGATAACATTTTACAGTGAAGCCAACATAAGAAAATTTTAAAACCGTATTTACATTTCGGTCTGTTAGACCCAAGGTAGCAACGCAGGGTTAAGAGGGTTTTCTAGTTTGCATTTTATTAGGTCTATAAATCCCTCCCTCTTCCTCAGTAATGGTATAAAATAATAAGTTATTTCATTTTGTACAGCAATAAATTACCATAGACGTATGGGAGTATGTGTGTTACCCTTAAGAATAAAACGGTATTGGCAGCACAATATACACCATCGCCATGACACTTTATGTTATCGAAATATTGCTGGCTCGTTTATGGCAAACTTCATACACGTTCAGTGTTAAACCATGGTTTTTAAGCTTTTGTTATGATTTGTAATCATTGATCATAGATCGATATTTTTTTAAATTGGTAGAAGTTTCAAAAGTAACTTTTGCTGAAAGAGGAACACTCAAGAGTTATGAGTTCTGAATTGATTAGGAATATTTTGTCATACCACAAATGATTCGCATAAATAATAAAAGAAACCAATTATTCGCCAGGTGTTGCTATTCACTTCAATTTGCGATTGGCATGTGGACAACCGTCTGGCTAGCATCTTGAAATCCGGTATATTGAAGAAAATGTTTCTGTCCGGCGTGACCACCGACAGCTTTGGCTTGCTGATTTTGTCTCCGTGGCTTTAAGTACGACTACGAGTACACCGACAAATGGGTCTGTCGCAATTGCAATCAGACTTTCGACTATATCAGAGAGCTGTGCAACCATACCACTAAACGTTTTAGATTAGATATCGATTTGACGGCTCTGCAGAAATTCAAAAGAATCAGAACTCTAAAATGCGTGTCTTTGATCTTCATTTAAATGCGTGTCTTTGACCCAACTTCGAGTAACTTGCATATTACCAGGCCACAATCATATTATTGTTTGTCTGTTGTTTATGCTTGATAAAACCAATGTTGTCAACGCATTTGTTAAGAAACTACAAACCTGCGCACTATTCACGTGCACCTGTAACTACAATATCTATTCGAATTTCCTATAATATTATATACTTGTTTTGAACGTCATGTACCACATTTCATTAAAACAAAATGCCATACTTAAATTTTCCAAATGAAATCTTATATATTTTTTTTTAGTTTGATACGCTGTAAACTCATTCCTTGTAAAAACGATTACAAATACAGATATACTTTTGAAAACTTTCACACGTAATAGTGTTTTTATCATGAATAAATCAATACTTGTGACCGAAGGTATTTTGCTATTTGTTTGCACTAAGCCATTTGATTCTTTGGTTAAAGCATTTACTGCATGTTTGCGCTTAGCAACGGTTATGGTTTTATATTTTTTTGTATGTTTATCACAATAACGATTAATACACTAGTTTTTCACTTTTTTTAATTTTTTTATGTCATTCATACGAAAATTAAATCATTTTTTTCTATACAATATTTTTAGAAGTACACTTTTGTATTATATTAAAATTAAATAAATCATTATGGACTATGATTTAGGACGTATTTATATGAAAGTTTGTTCTAAAAACGATAAACCAGTTAATGAGTTTATTTTGTCATGTATGTCTAACGCAAGGTAATTTTAGAGCAACATAAGTAACACCCGGTGTAGTTTATGGTTTGCATGTAAAAATAGGTATTTAAGAAGTACAATTTATGTGGGTTATTTACTGACAGTAATAGTTATTATTTATCCGAATTTGTTTGTACGACTTTTCTTTAATCATATGTTTATTTATTTTGTTTTCCAGTATATACGGCGAATTCAATTTAAGGTCTGCTACAGTTAGTGAAACCTCGTGTCTGTTAATAGCTCAAACGCTGAAACAGGCACCTGCTGTAGTTACTGCTTTAGATTTATCTGAATGTTTGCTACCTTCAGATGGATTAGAAGTTCTTATTAATATAATTAATTGTTTGGAAAATACGACGCGTTTGAATTTAAAAGGAAATCAAATTGGACGAAAAATAACTAGATGCATTTCTAAAATGATGATAAGCAACACTACACTAACTGAGTATGTTTATTTTACATGTAACGCGGTTGCGGGATATAACTACAATGACAGGCTTCATAAAAGTGTAAAAATAATAAGACGAATCTCCTTTGGACTGTCGCGGCACTATCGTTGTGCTTTAAGTTTGCGTCTAAAAATTACAATTTTATCATAAAATGTTTGTATTATTTTATTTTGAATGTCTAAAATAAATTTGAATTTGTTTTACTATGATTTTATTAAATCTGTAGGAATAAATGTTACATAATATAATTATAAAATGTTTATTAATAAGGTTTTATTATAAAAAAACACACAAACGATTTAAAAATTAAAAATACCTAGTTATTGCGATCAATATTGGGATAAGGTGCTACTACATGAATTCCTTTTTAAATAGTCTTGTTGAAACGATAAATACAATAGAGTTAATGATTCTCATAATTATATATATATATATATATATATTGCTAATAGCTAGTAATATTATTTATAAGAATAAAAGAAAATATGATGTTTGTTTTATGTAAGATTTTAAATAGCATTATTTGTTCTCCATCCCTTCTAAACAAAATGTAATTGGTACTTTTCTAAAACGAAGTCCGTTTTGAAACTCTGCTAGCTAATTTATTATATTGATTCTAACACAAACGGTCAAATGATTGCGGTAAAAACAATACTTTTTTTACGATTCATCCCTACTAAAATTACTAATTAATAGTTAACATTTAAGATTGCAATTGGAATGGAACAACATTGGCGATTCCGAAGATGCGTTTTCTGAATTATGCAACAGTTTAATGTGCAATACAGTTTTGATAACATTGAACTTGGCTTCGAATAATTTAGACTATTGTTGTGTTTTGCACTTGGCTAATATACTTTCTATTAACAAATCTTTGAGACATATTGGTGAACATAAATTACTTTTGTTAATTAAAAAAATGTCAATTTAGTTCATTGGAACAACATATACTTATTATGTATATTGATTTTAGATTTAAGTTGGAATTGTATATGCGAAGAGGGTGCTTTATGTTTATTAAAATCGTTGGAAAAAAACCAAACCCTAATATCTTTAAACATTCAAGGAAATGCTGTCACTGCGGAAACCTCTCACAAGATTGGTAAACTTAGCGCCGGAATTTATTTTATTTATACGATATTTAATTAATATAACATTTATGTTTAATACACTCTGTTTTTGAGAGAAGTCATTTTAATGACTTTAATCAAAAATGATAATATATAAATAACCCCTAATGTAAATTTAAATAATAAATAATGTAAGTAAAAAGGGTGCAACACTAATTATGAAATTTACGTTTAAAACATAAACATTTTCACCTTTTCGAGGAAAACATTTAACCCCATATTTTTGGCATTAAAAATGTCTGTACAAAATTAAGCATGCAGACTTTCAATCAAAATTTTGTCACGGAAATTTTTTAAAGAAAATTACCGATTGTAATTTAACCCTTCACTTGGCAAGTCTACATTATTAGTGTGAAAATTATAAAGTTTGGTTTTTCTTTATATTTTGAGGTCTCTGAATAAAAAAAAAAAAAATTTAGGACAAACTTTTTTAATTATAAGATGTATCCTGTGGGATACATTGCCGTGATCTCATAATATGTAATATGTATCTAGTGGAATACATTACCATAAACTCATATTATAAGAGTTGTATCTAGTGAGATACATTACCAAGAACTTGTAAATAATTTAAGTTGTGTCTAGTGCCACAAAAAAATACCAAAAAAGTAATTTATAATACTATATTTAATTACATTAAAAACAAAACAACAACTTTAACAAATTTAAATGTACTATTTTACAATAAAAAATAAGTTCATAGGATCTTCCTTTAACGTTATTATTTTATTTAATAAAGACATAGTTTAATAATTAATTAACTTAAATTGAAACGAAACAAGATTTAACATATTATGTAGGTACTTTTACATTAAAATTATAAAATTATCTAGTGTAATGAAAGTTTTGAAAGCAATTTCTCCCTTCCACAAAACAAAGACGGCTTTTACACTAAGCAGATGACTGATGTTTGGCCTGATTTGCAATATCTACATCTGCCCTTTGTGGTAAATGCTGGGCAATGGTCTATTTTATCTTGTATAACTTCTTGTGGAGCCCTCGGAATGACTGGTGCTTGAATTTGTTTTAATTGTTTTTCTTTAGCTATTGATGTAGAAGGACGACCAACTCTTGGCTTATTTTTGCAAGCCAGCGCAACGGCAATATCTTTTCTGAATTCTTTAAGTCGTGTAATGTGTTTTTCTCATTTTTACAATCCCTTCTATATAATAACCAGGCATTATTTACTGACAGATCTAACATCTGTAAAAATAATGCCATATACCATTTATGCGTCTTCATATTTGTGCGGTAAAGCGCTATAAACATGTCTGCTAAGTCAACGCCACCCATATGGGTATTATATTCTTGTAAATACGTATTTATACAATATTTTATAATAAAATAATATAAAATGTCTGTATAATATTGATTGAGACTTATAATATAGAATTTATATTAATGAATCTACTAAGATACATATATGTCATGGAGGCATTGTGGCAATGTGTCTCCTAAGATACATGTATAACCTAATAGGCGTCACGGCAATGTATCTTATAGGGTACATAAGATTCAAATGACATTTAAAACTATTTATACGATATTTTGATTTAATAATATTATGTAATCATTAGATAAATACTAATTTTAATTATTTTCACCCTTGTTTCGTGCACTTTTATACAAAATAACGGTTTTTTGAGGATTTCAAATATACGGTTTTTTGTATTTTTGATAACAGGGTAATACTCGATTTTCATTACTGAACAGAAAAAAATTGATAACATTTACGCGGGAAATACAAATATAATAGAAATCAAACAGTGTGGCACTATTCAAAACGTTAAAATATATATAATAAACTTCAATGACTATATTATTTAAAAATAATTTAAGTGTGTGTATCTCCTAGGATACATTACGAAGTTAAGGGTTAAGTTCATTTTGAATAACTTCATATTCTGAATCTTAAATTTTGTATTGATGTACTTTTACACTAAAGCTTCTCTGAAATAAGTAAATCTTAAGATATGCTGTTGCACAAAAATAACTAAATAAGACCGTTAAAATATCAATATGGACTTTTGCGTTAATACAAGAACCAAGTATCTCGTTATTTTTGTATGATGTTTTTTTTTTTGGGGCTTTTTTTTATATTTAAAATGTAAATTTGTAGTTAAATTTTAAAATATTCTATAACAAACACAATATTATTGTATCGTTAATTTTCTAAAAATTTATATTCATAATATTATTATTGTATTGTAGTAAATCAGCTAAACCAAAATAAGTCTATCGGGTTAAACAAGAAGAGTATTGAAATGAGAAATCTATGTTTAATAGAACATGTTGCGTCAGTGGATAAAAATCATCAATTACAGCTGAAACAATATCAAATTCGTATCGAGTAATATGTTAATTATTATCGCTTTTAAAATGTTCAACGACAATCTTAACTTGAACATTAGTGATTTAGAGACAAAACTAAATGTACTGCAAAAGGAACGTCAGGATCAACTAAACGAGATAGAAGATTTAAAAAAGAAAAACGTAAAAGAAAAAGAAATTATCTATGAAAAGGAAAATGAGGTACAAAAGATGAAATTCAAATTGTCAGACGATAAGCAAAATTTAAACTTAATTATTAAAAAAAACAGCACTGAATTATCGGACACTGACCTCGAACGGATAAACACATTTGAGGTCTGAAAGTTGTTATGCCATTTTATAGTTATTGCACATTAAACTCGGTAAATATAAATATAATAACAATTCTTAGGATATGGAAAAAATAAACTATATCATAAAAAAGATTAAAAAGAAATTGTTAAAAGAATCTAAATTGAGACATGACATATTGGAGGCCTTGCCTAAGTTTGTCGACGAATTAAATTCGATCAAAACAGAAATTAACGCAATAAAGATAACTATGAAAAACGAAGTGAATAAATTTGATGGTAAATTGTGATTGTATTAAATAAGTCATTAGTTGTATTATAATACATAAAAACTATAAATGTTGGTTTTAGATAAATTATCAGCAACTAGAAATATAAATCTAACTAATTTAACTCATCTTAGAGAGCTAGAACAAATGAACAAAGAACTGCATTCAAAATACATAATGGAACAACAAAATGAATTGAAAATTTCAGGAGATCAGGTTATTTAGTATAGGAATATTAATTACAAGAGCTAAATTGGGTTTTTGGTGTCTTCAAAAATGGTTTGATTTAAGAATTTGTTTGGCAATGAATATTTTAGTTGGTAATTTTAACTTTAACTCAACATAACAGTTTATTGATTCTGACTCGGCTTTATCAAACTAAGCATAATAATACCCTAAAAAATATTAATGCAAATGCCATGCATAAAAATAAACAGTGCAGTTGAGTCGGGGGCATTGTGGTAACGGAGCATTTTAGGGCGGGTGTGGTCACAGGTCACAACTATTTTTTTCCCTTCAAATCACATGAAAATATCATCCTTGTCTTCCGCATTTTGGAAATTGACATAATATTATTGTAAACAGGAACATTGCGTTTCATTTTTTTAGTCTCATCATTTTTGTACCGACTTTTGCAAACTCCACATTTCCAATCGTCATCTTCTTTTGCTTTGCTATTAATAGTTTAATTAACCTTCCCATTTTCTTTTACGTTGTTGTTAGTAGTTTTATTAGATTTCATATCTTCTTTTGACATTGTTTTTAGTAGTTTTAGTTGAATGTATTATTTTTGAGCATGATGGCACAGGTTCATTTAGAGATATTTCGCACTGGAATCACATTTGTGTTGTGTTGAAACTTTAGGTGTGTTAACTGGAATCATTAGTATGTCGGTAATATTTGTAGGAGTTGATGGTTGTTTATTGTTAAGCACAGGAAGATCTACTTATTTGTTTGTTAATTGAGATGGTTTGAGGCATTTGTTAGACAATCATGTTTTTAATTATAACTTTAACGTACTCTTTAAGTATTATTAAAAGTGAAATCCACGATCTATTAGCGCACACGCATCCTAAAAGAGTATGAAATTTACCTCTATCCGCAATTTGTTCTTTTGTAAACATTAATTTCGCCTAAAGCTGTGACTACTTTGTTTGGTTTTATGACATATGTAGTCCAGTTTTGTTACAGTTCCGCAATCAATTACGTAAGAAAACATGGAAATTCGTCAATAGGGAATTCAATGTCTTCGTTTTCACTACAGGCAACTTTCAATTTCTGAGATTTTTTCATCGCCTAACAAGTCTAAAATGTCTTCGTCGCGAAACATATTAAATATATTATAAAAATTAAAATATATATTAATTTAATTATATACTAATTATAGTACTGTTTATAAAAAAATCGGTGAAATATAACATTCGCGCCAAATAAACGCCGCACCGGTTAATAACAATACAACAGGTGTTCAAACAGCGCGCAACCCACGATGACTTGACGTACACTATAGTGTACCTTTATTCAAATATCTCCCAAAAGACAAGTCATGGTAACAAACAGCCGGCAACGGTTTTATATATAATGTTATCAAGTCTAAAAACAGGAAAAAATGTATAAAATCTTTTTTAGAACGCTATTGCATGGAGAAAATGTGAACTAAAAACTCAGCATGTTATCACACTTTTCGTTGGTTTTTTTAAGGAAAATTTATAAAAACCGTGTTAAAATCTTATCGTAACTGTTTTATAAATTCCTCGTGTACTTTTTATGTACAATGCGTTATTATCATATGTTTAATTTTAACCGCCAATCGATAACAATGACTCTAACTACCAATTTTTTTTTTGTCACATCTATAGCACTTGGTAAAAGGTCATTAGTGTATATTGGGAACTTATCTTTTAACCTTCTGGACATTAAAATTTATATTTGTGATAACCTTATACCTAATACTTTCGACTGAGGTATTTCTATAATTCAACTAGGACATATATGGCGTAGGCCCATCATGATCACACTTTTGAGGTATTTTTTACACAATCTTATATATTTATCTGCTAATTCACTAGATAGTTGGGGCTTGTTGTCACTACTTCAAGTCCATTTCACGGTAAACTCGATAAATTCATAACTATTAAAGGGTATGTGTTGTCTCCAACTAGTATATCAGGTGCTCCAAACCTAGATAATACCGGCTGTAAATTTTCTATTACCCACTTAGGACCGTTATTATTTAAATATTAAAAATACAAAAACCCACGGACTTCAGGTCCCTTTCTGTTAGCAGGTGTTCTCTCAAGGCAATATCAGTTAACCCTAGTTAATCTGTTCCGAAAAATATTACCTGCTTCCCAAAATTTGCACGCTGACAAGTATTTTTATCTCTTGTTATACATTTTTAAATATTTTGTTCGAGTTTTTCTTTAGTGTTGTAAAATGTGTACCTTTCATAGATAATGTTTTTTTCTTGGGTTGCAGAAGGTTTTTTAAATGCTTCCAATACCACGTATGTAATGATTTGCGTTAAGTTCAACTACATAACATTTTATATTTACATTAGCACTTTATTACGATGGCAAGTAAACCCTGCGCTTTACACAAACAAATAGTTTAAGCGCTAACCGTTTCTGATTCTTTCAAGTTCTGCGGGCATACATTAGGATAAAATATTTACCGTACATCGTTTTATGTTACACAAAAACTGCTTTTATTCAATAAGTATGCTAAAATTAACAAAATAACAATAAATTACATATTTTTATTTTTGAAAAAAAACTTCCGTAGTATCGTTATAAAAGCGTATTAGGTTGCCATCATTAAAATTAGCACAACTATTCTCGTATTAAAAAAACTGTTATTGATTTTCTTAAAATGATTTGTTCATAATTCAGCTAAATACTTAACTATCATTGATAATAATGTTGTTAACTTTTATGTAACAGACAAAAATGCTCGTTTCTCTAAGCAAAGAATTGGAAACATTAAACAATGAGAAAATGGCCTGTGAATTAAAGCTTGCCGAATCAAAACAACAAACTGCAGTGTCCGAACAAACTTTACGTAGTCTTGAAAACAGTTTAATACTGGCCAAAGATGCGTTAAAGAAATCCAACGAAATGCAGTTGTCGAGTTTGTCAGAAAATTCAATTACAAAGCAACAGGTTAGTTCGCTAACCGAAGAAGTAAACGTTTTAAAATCCCACCTGTTGGCGAAAGACCATCAATTAAACCTATATGAAGAAGATAAAAAAATGTACGTGTCTACTTATGAGGCCAAAACACTTGACCTACAAAAACAGCTACAAACAAGTAAACAACATTACGAAGAAAAAAAGTAAATATTGAAATTTTCGTTTCATCAGTATTTATTGGTTGAACATTTTGGTTGCACCACTCATATCTATTTTTATTTATGTTAAGGAAAGAAGATCTTAAAGAACTCAAAGAATTGTATACATCATTTTCAGAATTTTATCAAAAAATGAATGGAAGTAATTTACAATATTAGTAGAGAATGTTGGCACAGCCAACAATAATTTCAATTGGTACAATAATGTAGACATTTTAGCTCTTAAGTCTTAACTACATAATAATATTTCATTCTTTTTTGTTCTTTATTATCGTTGTTTTATGTTGAATATATATTATTAAAATATACAATATTAATATATTACACAGTGAATTCGTTGCAAATTTAAAAATATCGAACCAGGACATTTCGGAAATCCCGGTTCGCCGCCAATCCAAGCGACTTAATTATATACGGAGTGGGTCGGTTTAAAAAAATAAAGCCAAACCATATAATGTAATATTGTACTTAGTAGATAGAAATAATATGCAGGGAGTGGATGCTTCGATGCCTCCTCTCTTATAAAATACATACGCCCTCCAATGCTTGTTTTTTGGGGAAGGGGGGGGGGCTCATTATCTCAACTAATTTTATGGATATTCTAGCGTATCCCAATTATTTTTTAAAGGGGAACTCATGGGACAGGTTGTTATTTAAGCTTACCTATTTTTAAATCAAAATGGTTACATATTTTTTTTTTATCGAAATTAAAATTTATTGATATTTGATACGTGATATCCACCAGTGCCCTTAGGTGTAAAAAATATAGAACAATCATATATTTCCTAGTGACATGTTAATCTATAGACCTCCCTTAACCAGAGAATATATATATATATATATATATATATATATGTAAAAAATAAATATTTTAATAATACGTAATATTTATTACAAATAAATACAAATTTATAATATTAAATATGTATATATATATTTATATATGTAGTATATAAATATAAATTTAATACAAATTTGTAAATTTTTATAAAATCCGGAAAAAAAAATTCATAATATTAATCTAGAAAAAACTGTTAAACAAACTTATGGTTAAATATATATAATGATATTTCACTTTTTCTTTGGAATAAATAAGGCGTAATTGTGTTTCTCTATAAAGACAACAGTCTTATTAATAATATGTTACATTATTTGTACTTTAAGAAAGGAATGTGCACTGTGCGAACGAATCGCAAGACAAGCGCACAAGGAAAGAGAATAGACTACTAGGTGTAAATGAACGAACTCTCGAACTTAAACCTTGTAGACGGACAGCGACAACCGATTACTCTTGACTGATGACATATAGCTCTGGTAAAGTCGACTGACGAATTATTCTTGAATCTGATTGACTTTTATATAGTTTTACAATTTGCAATTCAGCGTTATTGTTAATTTAATCGTTTGGTCATCAGTCTCAAGTCGCCGGAAGCACTGCCCGCATTTATTTAAAAAACATGTAACCTATATTGATGACGTGGTCATCATAGAACATCCGACGATGTCTTTTTGACATTTTCATGTCTTAGCTCTGACACATAACCGAAAAAAGCGTTACCAAAAGAGCGTTGCCAAAAGATCGTAACGAAAAAAGGTGGGTATGGGAACGGGGTGGAATTAGCTATGGCAAATAACCGAAAAAAAGCGTTACCAAAAGAGTGTTACCACACGAAGATGGGTTGGAGGTGGAAATAGGGGTAGGAGATAAGGGGTTGAGGACAGGTGATAGGGGTGGGATATAGGGGATATAGGGATATGGGATATAGGGGATAGGGGTAAGATATAGGAGATAAGAGGTATGATGTACGTTCAACGTTCAAATTAGAACTAAATAATAAATTCAAAACAGTTTAATTCTCTATATATTAAACTATGTTAAGTTACTTTTGGCCAGATAATAAACACTACAATTTTAGCCAGAAACATGATTGTACATAATTTTTTAATCTCCTTGGCTTATGCTGTAACTGGAAGCTCCATGTAATTTTTTTTTTTTTAATTATAATTCCACAACTAATTATATTTATTCGGTACTTCAACGGGACATGAAAATGCTCTTTCGTGGTTGCAGACTCGGCTGAAAAACTTTTTGATGCCACGTCCTCATGGGATACATTTTTATGGGGTTATGAAATTATTTTTTACAATTATTAAAGGAGGGGAGAGAGAAATAAAAAAATAAAAAAAATACATGTTATTTATTGTTATTATTATTTAAAGAAAATACATATGAGAAAAATGAATGTAAGGTATGATATCTATTATGTATTTCCAAAAAAAAATTCTTACTCTAAGTGGTTTATTTATTTTTGTTTCTTGAATTTCGGTCTTCTGCACTTGGTTCTTTTGGTTTGAGGAGTTCGGGTCAGGATTTCCGCTTTGAGTTCATCCGATATCCGCCGTCTTATGGATTGGCACATTGCTTCCTTGAAGTTCAGAGGAAGGCCCTCAGCAAGTCGCCTCGCATTTTCGCAGACGAAAACACCGCAATCGTACCCGTTGTGTTGCTTCGGACTGACTCCTAGTAGTGTCGTCCATGGTTCTGGTATGGGGATGCCTTTTTTGTCCAAAAACTCATTTTCGATGTATCTATTCATTAAAGATAACACAGGCCTCATCATGCATATTGTAACTGTCCAACAAGGTGATCGTTTTGATTTTTGGTTGTAGTTGGATCAACTTCCAGTGATTCACTTGGTGTATAGGAATAAGTATCATTTCCTTGGTGAATATGTCGGTCTTCTTCGTCCACCTTCTTACACTTTGGTATCCTTTAGTGGAGAAAACCTCAAAGAAGAAGGTGTTGAAGGTGGCTACATGTTTGTGGTGTTTCTTTTGAATAAGCCTGAAGTAGTTGTTTATTTGTTCGTCCCCATACCATGATGTATCTAACTTTACCGGGTTCTGGAATAGGTACGGTGTTGAGCTTCTGAGGTCTTTCTCATACCGCTGCCAGTCAACTTCGCCGTTCACCAATATGTGGTCCAGCGCTGGAATGTGGACTGGTGTGTCTGTAAGCGGCTGAATAGGTGACTTTAGCAGGTCCTGGACCCACTCCTCAATTGATTGATATGTGGGATGTTGGCTCATGGTGTATGATATTGTTGTCCGAACGTCGAATTGTGACTGATGGTCCGTTTTTTATTATTCCCCATTACGTTCGATGTTATTATAGGGTTATAATTTTTTTTTTTTAATTTTTTTATAAGGTTTCATTTTACACTTTATAATGGGAATATTTTATGCTGTAATTGTGCGTCTCTTTCTATATACTGACCATCTCGTGGCGGGTTTAGGGAGGGGATTGTTTATTTTGCGTTTTTTGTAGCGAATCATTAAAATTACTACTACCATGATGATTGTGACAAGGGAAATGCTTATTACTAAAATTATTTGTTTATTATTATTATAATTATTTTCGATATTGATGTGTTCTAAAATGCTGTCTAGCCCTATTTTGTCATCTGAAAGTTCTTCAATAAACTCACTGATAGGAGAAAGACCATAGAGTATATTTTTAAAACTATAATATTATCATAACAAAAACACAAATCCGGACATTTCAGTCATTCAATTTTCTAAATTTATTATGTACTATAAAAATAATTGTAGTAAAGTATGTCTTTTCTAAGTCACTTGAATACTGATTTTAATTCTTTCCAAAATAACTGATTTAATTTTGATAAGATAATATGAGTTTTATTTTCTATTACACTCACCGAATACGTTCGAGTAAGTAATAGAATAACTTATGATGTTCGTGGCTGACACATAATTAAATATTTAAAATCATTAATTCAAATGTTAATTACTAGTTTAGTAAGAGTTCCGTTTGTCAATGAAGTTATTAACTTCTCTCATACGTATATATTACTATACATTTTTCATTACTAACGTTATTGAATTTCTCTAGGGAATTGGAGACGGCCATTGTTCGTCGACTCGAGAAACGCATTTTCATAGATTTACCAGACGAGCAAGCTAGGAACGATATGTTCGTTTACAATCTGTTAGAAATATTAAAGAATAACAAGTACATCCGCTGTAAAATCGACAGCGACATTCTGGCACAAGTGAGTGTTTAGAGCGCATAAACTAACCTAACCTGACTGTATTTTAAAAATAACAAATTAATTGTAGCGGACCAACGGCTACTCCGGTTCGGACATAAAACTCGTGTGTAAAGAAACAGCCATGCAAACGATGCGTTCGATATTTAAAGGGTTGGGACACAAACGGAGAACGTTGGCCAATTAAATATAACCACAGAAGATGTCTGCACTGCTATTGCGAAAACCAACCATTCGACGGCTAAATCCGACAACGTCAAGTATCGATCGTGGCAAACTCAATACGAATCCGCGTAGAGCCATTGTAAAGCACCATAATATATTGTAATATATATTATATTAGCTACGTCTAGTTTTCAAAAATGTCCCTAACATACAATTTTAACGGTGGTAACTTTTTGAATTCCGGTATATTGTTCAAGTACAGCGCCAAGTTGTTGTATCTTTCAATGCGTTTTTCTTTAAACCTTTCCATTTTCAGCAACAACATGTCCAGTTGGTTTTTAATAGACGAACACAGTAAAACCATTTTCTGTTTCTGCTCGACTTCTTTCAATACCGTCTCGTTTACTAACGAATCCATTATGGATGTTAGTGTGAATTGTTTCTACAAAACGTAACATCATATTATTATTATACAATATGCATCATAGCCGATTATATACAGTATTTTATACTTTTTACATTACACATACCTATCTACATAATATTAATCTCACCTTCATTAAAACATTCCTGGCTTTGATGAATTGATATTTGGTGTGATGTCTAAAATCTGACACGATCTTACTGCGTATCGATTTAGCCGTATCTAGCGTGAACGGCCTTGTCGCCGCTTCCAAGTACGGCAAAGCGTAATCCACCTGTTTGGCTTTTTCTCTTTTTTTAAATGCTTGTTTTTTGTCTTTCTGCAATGGATATAGTAAAATTGTTAATACCTACTAATCTAAAGGTATATAAAATTGACCAGACACACACCTGTTTCCACAAGTAGCGCAGATTAGCTGTTGCACGACTGGAGAGAGCTAAATTTAGCCTCTGATCTTTTCGCACTCTTAAGCTAATAACGATTAGAACCGGAACTAAGTATGGTACCAAATTACCATAATAAGCCAAATTGAAATTTTTAAAAAAATGCTCATTTTCTTTGCTCAAACGACTATTATAACAAAATCAAACCTGCTTCAATTTCAAAAATATCTTCTCGTTCCCCTCGTTTCAACGCTTTCTCCACCATCTCCTCCCTTCACTACTTCATTCTCTCTTCACCCTTCTCCCTCCTTTTCCTCAACGATTCTAACTGCCCTTCCGTCTTAATCCCCTTCCCTATTTTCACTTTCACTGTACAGGAAGGGATAGAGTGCCTTACTATTACCGGTTTAAAATGTGGTCAGCTTCAACGGTAGGTACTCACTTCGCCTTGAAGAATGCGCCTGCTTTTGGCGTTTCTATCCCAGTCCAGAGAATCCACAATCAGCCGGAAGTTGGATCGTTCCCGACAGCGCGTTTCCAAGATGGACAGCACGTTACCTTCGAACCGGTAGACGTCACGACGTGCCTCATACTCGGCTGCTATCATGTCTTTCAACATTAAGTACGCCTCGTACTGTTTCATCTTGTTTTCGTACGGGTAAACCTCGTTTTCGACCATCATTTCCTCGTCGAACTTAAGGTCATCGCCGCAAACGGCAGGCTTGTTGAACATCCGACTGGGCCGAGTGATCTGACCCTCTCCGTAATGGTGTTCGACGAGGATCGAGTTGTTTGCAAGATTAAACCCTCTGAACGCAATGTCCCTGTCGTTGGGTTTCGACTCGTCCCTCAGATACTTTTCCAAGATGACCTGGAAGAAAATTATTGGCGTTTTGACCTGGTAGAAACGCGCTTTCTACACCTCTCTCAAAGCACAAACACGACTTACTCTCAATTTCCTTTTGGCAGTAGTGGAAATGTCCGATTCTTTCGCAACTTCGTGAAACTCGTATAAACGCCAAAACAACAAATCCGACCTGAAGACCACCAATCAATCAGATAGCCTACAAGAACGGGAACCGATTTGCTCAATACTGACCTGCCCTTAAACCTCGCTATAACCAACCGCGGGTCCATGTGAATCTCGATCAACGAATCTAACCTTGTCGTGTCATAAAAGCTAATGACACGTTTATCTTCAACATTGATTGTGTTGGAGTAGAATCTGTGTGCTGCAAAAACACAAATATCTTTTCAAAATCATATCTACTATTTAGTCAATGCGCAAACACCCAATTTGATTTCTGATTTACAGGGTGAAATCATTACCCCTTGTACTACACACTTTTCAAGCAATCCTCTCGGCCGCTACTGAAGTACTCCACGGTCTCGGTTTCTTCGGTGGTATACGTTATGTCGATTCGCACCAGCCGGTCTATTCTGTGTTTGTACACTTCTTTGACAAACGTTTTATTTGCACGATCTTGTTTTTCGTAGTACGTCGTCCTTTTTACCAGTCCATCTGGCATCACATAGTCAGCGTAACATTCTTTTATGGCGTTTGAGTACATGACAACTTTCTTACCAGCCGGGTACTTCATTAGGTATCCTAAACAACAACATTATATTACCAAGTACAATAGACCCTTATAAAGTTCCAAACCTTCCTTCAAATTTTCCAATATACCCTTTGTTTATGTCATTACTCATTTTACAATATTCAAATTTTTTACTTTTATAAATATTCTTCAGAGCTTTATCAACTTCTTAAACATGTGTCTTTAGTTGAATTCTCAAAATGAGAATAATTTACTGGACAATTTTATTAATGGTCGATACCAGTTTTGAGTAATTTTTTTTACAGTACAAAATTTAAGACGGGAGGTGGAGTGCGGTTGAGAAATTCGCACGGATAAAAATAACTCAAAATTCCATCCTTCCTCTCGTCTTAATTTTTATACTTTAATGACTAACACTATTTGAAGAGTGAAAGTGTCAAACGTGTTCCAAGTGCCAAAGTATAAAAATTGAACTTTATAATTTGATTTGTATTTTATTCATTACCGGAAACACTTTAACATATTTTTAAGTTTTAAATATGATTGTTTTTTTTATAAATAACTATTCTTTACTTGAAAAATTTAAAAAATTGTTTCCAGTAATGAATAAAATACAAATCAAATTATAAAGTACAATTTTTATACTTTGGCACTTGGAACGTTTGACACTTTCACTCTTCATTTATTGAAAACTGGTTATTATTCTCAAATTAAAAAACCCGATTAAATATGTACGTTATCATTTAAGTTTCAAAAGTTGATAAGGCTCTAGAAAATACTAAAAAAGGTAACATTTTGAACATTGTTTAATTTTGTAATATAGCATAAGCAGACGTTTTTTCAAAAAGAAAAACTGTTTCAATCATGAGAAAACTGGTGTAAGGAATTAAGAGAATCACCCGGTATATGTAGATGAAAATATACTTACATAGTTATAACATAACTTATATTAAATACATGAAATCGAACGCTTACTGTGTCTTGGGACTTGTAAAATGTTTACCCACGAGCTAGGCATGAACAAATGCGTGTAAACGTCATTTGTGTTGTCTTGCTTAAGCGGTAGCCGTCGTAGATGCGTGGGCTCGTCCACTAAAAAATGTTCCCAACATTTGGTGTTCATTAACGTATAGTTGTATTGCTGTAAATAAAAAAAATAAAAATCACATTTGTGCGATGCTCGATTTTTGGTTTCGTTTAAATAATTAACTAAAAATTACTAGTAATTGCTAAACTAACTAAACTAACTAAACTACTAACGATTAACAAAACAAAAAAGAAACAAGAATAACTGTTTTGAACTTCTGGTCTTTACACCGTATTAGTAATTACAACACATTACATACACTCCGTTTGCATTTTTTTAATACCTACTCTTATAGCCCAAATCACAGACGGTTCATAGATTTGTGTTTAACAAAGTTTATGTCACATTAAAAAAGTATTTTAATCTCTTAAGAGATCGCATCCGAGAACTATTATTTTCATAATTAACAAATAATTAATGTGTTGGAACTTGGAGTAATTGATTGCAAATGTTAATTTAATTAGATTGCAAAAATCTTAACAGCTTATCATATCTTAACAGCTCACTGATGAAAAACAGGTACCTGCTTAAGCATATTTTGATAATAATTATTGTAAGCATACCATGCAACCTCCGTCCAAAGGTTGTAAGTTAACCCAATAATTTTGATGGTTCCACATTGCTTCTATTCCAATATATTTTCTATTCGAAATGTTACAGCGTTCTCCCGTGCTGGGTTCGATGAAGAAAGTGTCTCTGCTAACATAATGGTCTTTGATTTTCAACGGCAAAATCATTACCCAACAGTGTACTCGTCGCCCATATAAGGGATCGTAAACGTGCCTTTCATTTTCCTGAGATTAATCATTGTCACAAAAAAATATTAGTCACACAGATACTGGAAAAAGCTTATTATTTAGTTAGCCAACGGCCGTTCAATAAGAATACAGGTAAATTACTTCTCTCCAGCCGCGGCTGTACTTTTAGTACACTGGTTTACTAAATAGTAGTAAATAATTTAAACTATGTAACCATTCTTTTTATTTCGATCTGAATACAATTGGGGGAATTGCATGCGGTCTGTTTTTAAAGAGAATTCTACAGGCAATATTTAAGGAAAAAAAGGGTTTTTAATACATTTTGACCATGTTAATTAATTTTTCGGTTAATTTGTATAAGCTTTAAGGTATTATTTTTAAATTATATGATTATTTTCTATGAGTAAAAGTAATTTTGGCTTATTTTTGACCAAAAAGCTAGATGAAATTTCGACTACCTAGGATGGTCCAATTTCAATACTGCAAAGAGATTCGAGTTCTTTGGCTACTTTACTATAATATGTAGGAAGCCGATTTTTATGTTATGTTAAACGCGGACGCCCTTGTTTGGTTATAAAAAAAATGCGTATATAGTTAAGGAAAACCTCTTTTGTTTCTTGAACGACGTTATAGGCTTTTCTCTCTTCTTCTATCAATGTTGTCACGTATTCGCTGCAAAGATCGATTGGAGGGTCTACTGAGTATTCCTCGTCGACATCTTCAAGTTGTGCAATATTAGCTTCGTGGAGATCCTGATAAATGAATACATTAGTGAGAACAAATACGCTTGCCAAGTCGAGGTCGGCAAGTAGACTTTCTTGATTTTTAATTTTTGGAGAACTATTTCAATTATATATATTATTATTAAACAATTAATTAAAAAAATGTGGACATTTATGCCCCCCCCCTACCATAAGGTGAGGAAATGTGTTTTTATGATGTACAACTTTAAAGCCCTGTAGTGAATGAACTATATCAGACAAAGTTTTGAAACTCTACATTTGCTAAAGAAAATTGTAGTAAAAATTGATAATTTTTTTAATCATAAAAAACTAAAAAAGTGTATTTTTAATTTTTTTAATTCGTGTTTTGTATCATCTTGACGAACTCTTTCTAATAAGCTCAGAGTCGACTTTATAGCTTTTATAATTTTGGATAAAATTGAAATTAAGCGTTTATAAGATGCAACAACCAGACTTTTTTCAAATTAAAATCATTATACCACATGGATATGAAATCCTGTTTACCTGGTGTATTACCTATATTATCTTACATTAAAGTTAAGACAATTTCTGTACAGTCTTTTCTTAATAAACTAATAAATTCAAAATTTACTAAAAAATAAATACTTGTTTATATTAACTTTCTACTTAGTAATTAATGGTACGAAATTTTTCTTGGAGATTTAGCGAGGGCGGGGGACTGTTACAGGGGTGGGGGCCTGTATTACGCTTTTAAAACGTCCTCGAAGACAAATATCTAAGTATCTATCTTCTCACTATTAGTGTGTAGCATTTTTATTTTTCCTATTCGCAACAAACTCTTGAAGTTATCAACATGAATTTTTTTTTTCAATTTCAATAACCATTCTTGATATTTTAAAAATCAAAAAAGTAATAACAAATTTCTAAATCGATATACGTTTCGTTCGTCTGGAAAATCTAGCACGACGTTTGTGAGGTTGTTGGTACAGACTTCTTGTTCGGCATAACCTTGCACGACAAAAGCGTTGTACCCGCGGCCTATCAAGAACGAAGCCAACAGCGTGGCCATTTCGAAGCAGTTGCCCGTTTGTATTTCCAACACCATGGCCGGCGATATCATTTGTTTTGGCTGGAAAATAAACGATGCAACGAGTTACACCCGGACGAGTAGTTCAATTTTTTCAGTCATAGACCAGACGCATAGTAAGTAATCGTTTACCACCACGACGGGATTGTCTAACGGCTTGTATGTTATGTGCTGGGCGACGAACATGCTGTAACTGTCAAGATCGTCCAAGTCGCTGTAGACCAATCTGGACGGTTTGATGGTAGTGCATATGCATTTCTGAAATGATCACCAGCAATCAATAAAATGTACATCTTATGCGAGCAACTAATTGTTTGTCGAGCCTAACCGACCTGGTAACCGCATTCGTTTTCGTGGACCAACAACAGTTGCCGTCTATGAGAGTGCTTGGCATCGAATTGCTTAATGAAATTATCCGCGTACAAAAGAATAATTTTCTCCATATTTGTGTTCTTCACATACGAATCCGGAATGTTTTCCCTATAACAATACAACAACAATCGAGAATAGCTAGTGAAGAAACAGCCACGCCAGACAATAAGGGTGTAATGAGATCGGTAAAATGTGCGGTTTGGATTTCCATCTTAACCTAACCTAACTTAACTTATTTTATGGTGTTATATCAGATTATACAATAATTTTACTCGTCCGGATAGCGAATATATGTAATCGCTACATTAAAACAATATTTCACACAACATTGTACAATAAGATTAAAAAAAAAATGTTCGAATACTATAGTAAAAACTGTCATGGAAAAGGAGATTTTGATGTTTTGAAAAAGTGCAAAACATCTCAAGTATGTCCTAACTTTTATAAAATGCTCCAACTAGCATTAACACTTCCCATTAGTTTTGCTACATATAAGAGGAGCTTCTCAGCTATGCGGAAAATTAAATCCTGGTTAAGGACATCAGCTATGGAACAGAATAGATTCAATAAACTTTCTAAACTATTTATTAAAAATTAAATTACTCAAGCACTTAATTGTGAAACGATCTTCAATACATTTTCTAAAGAATGCAATAGAATAATCAATTTATAATATGTAACGACTGTTTAGTTTAATTCAACAAATTGGTATGTTGTGTTAAAATGTGTCTGTTTGCTACACCTAAAATTAAAAATTTAAGCCCTTCCAATATTAGATAGGATCTCAGCTTATAATCGCATGATGACAGTTTTGAGCATTCAATGGCCCGTTAAGCTACACGATGATGATATAATTAATTTAGAGAAAGGGATTCTAATTAAAAATAACATAATGTAACATTTTATTTTTTTTAAATCATGTGCAAAACTGGAAGGGAGTGCCTTCTTAAACTAAAGACCGTCCAATGTACCAATCACGTGCAATCTCAATTCGATGAGGTGCTATTTAACGTACCTAATGAACCAAAAAAAAAAACAAATTCCTACTTTCTTAGTTCCATATAAAATTTAAAAAACTATACATTTTTTAACTTCGCCTACAAGTCATAATACATTCTTAAGACGAAAATAATAAAATATAATGAATTAGATAGGGACCTAGGGTATTTTTAACGGATATTTAAGTGCACTACGTTTGTCCATTTGGATTATTAGGTAAAACTAAATCGCGATGACTTACTGGTTTAACAAACATTTTTGTAAGACTTCCGGCCATACGAGTTCGACTTCGGCAATTTTGTACTTAGCTTCTTCTAAGGCATCGACGTACCGCTTTTCAGCCGACCTGTCACCAAAGTCTTCATTCAAGTCGCTCAGTAGTAACAACCGTGAAGTCGCATCGTCTTCTTCGTGGTACTCCTCGTTGGCTACATGTACGCCCACTTGTGCTTGCAGGTTTTCACCAAACACTGTAATAACCTCGTAGCTGGCACACGAATCAGATTGAGCATCTTCGTCGTTTTTGTAATCGTAGTCAATGTCATTGTCCTCTAGTTGTTCATCGTTAAACGCAGATGGATACTGGGACTCCACGTCTTCCAGAATCCAATCTAAAGACTCTACATCCATTTTAATGCTACAATAACGTTATTTCATAATGTACACTGTTAAACATAGTATACTAGCAGATAGCACATACAACGATGATTGTTGCTAGGCTTTTTAAATTTGCGTTGTTTGATCCATATGGGTGGATTTTGGTTAATTACATTCAGTCAGCATAGAATAAGATATCACGATTACAATGACATAACTAGACACTTGGGGGACCTTGAACTTGTTTTTCTCAAAAAAAGAAACATTGCGTACACCGCACCGTACAATACTACAATGTAGCTCAATGAATTTTAATCCAATTGATTACTTAATTAATAATAAATACTGTTTTTTAGACATAAATTAGTCATTTTCGTTAAAAATCGCAAAATCGAAAGACCAAATTCAAGCAGCTGTATCGCCGCCATTTTTTCTATATGATTTTTTTTTTTTGTAAAATTCTTTAAATTGTCAATTTAATAATGTACTTTATTTTTTATTTTAATAAATCGTACCATTTAAAAAAAAAAAAATTCTTGAAAAATGTATTAATTGTATTATTATGAAATTGAATCGTTTATTTTTAATCTATCATGGTATACAATTAATTTAAATAGTGTTTTCATATCAGAAAAAAACGAATCAACGGTTTGTATTTAGTTATTATTTATACCACCGAAAAATCTTTAAAGAACATACTGGGTAGGTACACCATATTAGACATGTATAAAGAATATTTACAAAATATTTGATTTACATCTCCTGCGAGAAGACCCCTGTCCTGGACTAAGAAAATTTGACCAAGTCATACGACTTAGTTGCCTTGTCTTGTCGGCAAAAACTGTACAACTTTTCGTTATTGTAGGCAAAAATCACATACAAAACGTGTACCTATGTATATTCAAATATGTAACAAAGATATTTCAGCATAGGAATGAAATGTAAATAATAAATTGTAAAGTTTGGTAAATTTATTTTTAAATCGCCTCCAAAAATGAAAACCACATACAAAACGAAAATAGGAATTAACTTTTGTGTGTTAAAGAACGACGAAATATATTTGTAATCAACAAGTTTTTACGTATTTATATAGGACTAAAAAATACATTTACCAAGTTTCAGAAGTAAATTTTAAATTCTGGCTTGTTAGTTACACAATACAAAAAATAAAATCCTTCTACAAGTATACCGGGAAGTAACACAGTCAATATAAACCAACTATTTGAACTAGAAATGATTACCTTTATTTCACCTTAAATTACAAAAAAAAAGTATTTTAATCGTTGTAGATAAACTCTGAATTATTAAAAACATTAAGCTTTTAACTTTTTTTTCAAAATACATTAAAACAAAATGTTAAACAACACAACCACACCGTTGGTTCTCGATCGACTTGTAGAGGGATTTTAAGTTATCAGCTTTAAAGCGATTTGGCTTAGAACTTGAGTCGGTAACGTGGAATGGTAACCAGTTGGGATTTTTTTATTAAAAATAAGGCTTTAATTATAAAGATTATTAGCCTATTGAGGAGGAGGGTTACATATTATGGTGTAATTTTTACAATGCTAATGTTGATTTAATGAGATACATCATGGTTTAAAATTTACAATTTTTTATCTAAATCTATGTGTTTGAAGAATTTAAAAATGTTGGGAGTGTTGCTTTGATTGAGAGCTTCTTCTGTCGATAATGGATTATTGAGAAGGTGGCGTGCTGAGGAATATTTGGGACAGTCGATGGTGATGTGTGTGATTGTAATTGGAACTTTGCATAAGTCACACAAAGATTTGGGTTCCTTGGTGATTAGGTATGAGTGTGTAAGATGAGAATGGCCTATTCTGGTTCTGTTAATGACTATTTGTTCTCTTCTGCCTGAGTTGTCTGGGTGTGGCCATTTGAAAATTGTTTTTTTAATGTTTCTTAATTTATTGTTGTCAGGTGAGGAGTCCCATTGGTTTTGCCATGTTTTTATAATTTGTTTTTGAGCTTCATTTAGTAAATCGACTGTTGGTAATTTGCTTACTTTGTAAGTGATGTTAGTTATAGAGCCTGAAGCTGCTCCATTCGCCATTTCATCTGCTTTTTCGTTTCCTAGAATTTCAACATGTGATGGGACCCACATAAATTTTATTTGATTTCTAGAAGAGAAGATGATTTCTTGTATGTGTTGTACCAGTTCACTTTTAGTGTGTTGGGCATGAAGTGAGGTTAGGGCACTGAGAGAGTCGCTAATTTTTAGTGTAGGTATATTGTTAGGTGGGGCTGAGTATTGTGCTGCCATATATATTGCATACGTTTCCGCTGTGTATAGATGCTGGTAAAAGGAGGGAGTTGATAAGTTTTGACTATAAGTTCCACTACTAATGCAAAACCTGTTCCATTTGTGCTTTTGGATGCATCCGTGGAAATCAGTGTGTGGTCTTTAAATTGCTGTTCTATTATCTCATATATAAGTATTATATAGTACAATCTTGTATGACAGTAATTATTCTTATTATTTTTTTTTTTTTAGGTTTCTACACCACGAGAAAAATTGTTTTTTACATGTCCCACAAGATATGTGAGCCGGATTAACATTAATTATATAATACATTAACGACCTGTGTAATACAACCCTACAAGATTGTACTCCTTCACATGAAATTGGAATATTATTAGGATTGTGATATTTAAGTACATCATGACATGACTCGCTACAAACAGACATATCATCTTCGTCATTTTCGTACTTAATATTTATTAAGTTAAATACTAGACTATTTTTTCTCCAAAAATATTGATTATATCAGGTTGTGTCGTAGTATTTTTTTTTAAAAATCTGTAGTTTTCTCTAATACAATTTAGTTTAGCATTATTAGTTGTAGAAATTAAATTAGTGGCTATACTGCTATCTACAATTTCATATTTGTGATCAAAATAATCCATTATTATTATTTGTTCAAATTTAGTGTGATAGAACGATGATAAATAATTAATGAGAATTTGCATTTCATTTACCCTTTGAATACACATTTTTTTAAATAAAATTAAAAAAAATTATAATAATGTACGTACGATATTTTTTTTATTTGTACAACTGGAACTGTAATTGAACGAACATGCAGTGTTTTTTCTCTTGAAACATAAAAAAAACAAATTCTATAGTATATCAATATTTATAATAAAAAATTAATTACATTTATTCTAGTTGTAATTCATTTTTAAAAAGTTGTCAGTCGATTTTTCGCTATATTTGAGAAGTTGAGTATTGACTTCTGGAGACCAATTCCAAGGGGCTTAAGATGGAAAGGAGATTATATTGATAGGGATAGTATTAAGACCAATACTTTCCTTTATCTTGATGTGATTTTCATAGACAGTCATGTGCGTCTTTGTTTGATTATGTTGGAAGTTGGGATGGAAGTTAGAGGCTGTTACGTGATTAGATAGATTCAAGGTTTTATTATGTATTTGGCGGTATTTATATTACGAATGATTTGTAATGGGGGCTCACCAGCGTTGCATAAGATGCTGTCTACTGGGCTGGTTCTGAAGGCGTCGGAAGCGAGCCTTATTCCTTGGTTGTGGATGGCATCTAGTGACTTAGGTATATCCTCTTTGGCGGTGCCATAAATGACGGATCCATAATTGATGAAGGCCAGTATAAGTGACTTGTAAATTACGATTAGACTGTTCTGATCTGATCCCCATGTGAGGTTGGATAATGATTTTATAATATTCATTCTGGTATTGCAGCTAGTCTTTAGTTTTTTTATGTGGGGTTTCCGCGTTAATTTGTGGTCGAATGTTAGACCTAAAATACGTATATTGTTTGAGAAGAGGAGAGGAGTGTTGTTTAGTGTAATCTGGGGGATGGTTTTTTTTTAGCGGAGAAAATGATTCCTTGAGTTTTGGATGGTGAAAAAATAAAACCTGTTTTTGAGGCCCATTGAGAAAGTATGGTCAGTGACTTTTGGAGGAGTTTGGCGGAGGTTGAGTAGTTTGTTCCACTGCAGTATATATTGCAATCATCAGCGAAGAGTTTGTATTTGACTGGGAAAGGGAGGTTGTTACCAATGTCGTTAATTGCTGCTAGGAAAAGGGTGACGCTGAGAGCAGATCCTTGGGGAAGACCGTTCTCAATGTCGTGTATGTTTGACGATGAGTTTTGGATTTTTACTCTGAAGGAGCGATTGATTAAAAAATTGTCCAGGAATTTTAACATGTGTCCGGTTATGTCCCATTTAGAGAGGATCACTAAAACTCGGTCTCTCCAAACCATGCCATACGCTTTTTGCAGATCAAGTGAGATTAGCATAAGGTGTTGTTTTCTATTAAGAGCTGTGCAGATATCGGTGTGTAGAGTAGACAGATTATCTATGGTGGAGTGGTTGCGTCTGAAACCACATTGTTGGACGGAGATGCATCTGGTTGATTCAAGGTACCGAATGAGTCTTTTATTAATGGTCTTTTCCAGGACCTTACTCATGGGGTTAATGAGAGAAATGGGTCTGTAGTTAAGAATTTCAAATTTATTTTTGCCAGGTTTGGGAATGGGAATTACTGTTACGTTGCACCATTGATTGGGGAAGATTCCTTGTGTCTATATGATGTTGAAAATCTCTAGGAGGATCGTAATGCCGTTTTCTGGGAGGTTTTGAATGAACGCATATGGAATATTGTCTGGTTCTGGCTTATTATTACTGTAGTGAAATCATTGACGATAAAGTCTATGAGTTCTTGAGAATTATTGGGTTTAAGGTTTATTGGATTTGATATTAGTTCGTGTTCGATTAGTTCTGCAAAGAGAGTCCAGTTTGGTTTTGCATGGTTCCATTTGGGGGGAATGTCATAGGAGTGGATGAGTGGGGAGTGTCATTGGAATGGATACAAATTTCTATGGGCCAGTGGTCACTTCCACTGTAAGGAGTTAGCACATGCCATTCCATTGAAGCTGCAAGGCTGGCTGTGGTTATAGTTAGATCAATGGCGGATAAGGAACCATTGCAACTGTTGTATCTGGTGGGTTCTCCGTTGTTTAGTAGTATGAGGGATTGGTCGTTTTCAATTAGTTGCTCAATTATTTTGCCACGGGTGTCAGAGGCGTTATATCCCCACGATATATTGCGACTATTGAAGTCGCCCAGTATTATATAAGGTTTTGAGAGTTGGTTTAATATGTTTTTTAGATCGGTGATCGTGAAGGGGTGCTGTCTGGAATATATATGTTATATATACAAATTTGTTTTTCAAGTTTGATAATAGTTACTACTGCTTCTAGATGGGTTTGAATAATGACTTCTTTGCTTTCAATATTATTTTTTATGAATGTTGCCACTCCTCCACTTGCTCTATTTGCCAATGTTCTGTTTTTAAAGTATCCTGTGAAGTGATTGAGATTTGGGTGATGGTGATTTTTAAAATTGGTTTCTTGAAAGCAGAGTATGAGAGGGTTGAGGTCATATAGGATTCGGTTTATGTCTACGGATCTCTTAAAGAATCCGTTTATGTTCCATTGAATAATGTTAGTCATGATAGCTTATATTTGATAGAGTTATGGAGGGTCTATTGATTAGGATTAAGTGGCAGAGCCTGAAATAGGAGATTTGCTAATTTGGTGAGACGGGTTTTGGTTGTGCGGTCAGAGATGGAAGGACGGATTTCTTCAGTTGTGTTGATTAAAGTAGAGATGTCTGTGTGTGCTTCTTCAATCAATGTGTGTATGTTTATAGATTTGTTGGAAAAATTTTCTAGTATGTGGACAAACTGGAAGTAATCAATTGGTCGAGGGTCCTTCCTCTGACCAAACGGAGGAATTGGATATGGTGCGTATTTTTGTTTTTTATTTTAGAGTTGATTCTGCTTCATGGAGGTTGTGTTAGTGTGAGGAGATGGTGTGGTAGGTGATTTCGAAGACGAGGTTTCAGATAATTAATAGGCGTTTTTGTGAGGTAGTGTGAATAATGTTGTTTTCTGGATTGGGAGAGTTAGGTGGTAGGGGGGGTGTAGAGGTCATTAATCTCTTTTGTATGTGTAGAATCACTGATTTCTACATTTTGATCAGGTTCTATGATGATGGATTCTTTAGACTGAGAGCGAGAGAGGGGTGTTATTTTCAAAAGAAGTATCGCTTGACATTATTAGATGGTCTGTTGAGGTGTTTGGTTGCAACTTTAGGTAATCATTTTGTTCGTTTGTAATAACTGGGTTTGTCTGTGGTAAATTACTACAATGAGCTGAGGTGTGGCCCGTCTGTTTGCAGAGATAACATGTCATTGTATCATTTGTTAGAAAAATTCTGAAGTTTGTATTGTCGAAATGAATTAGAAGTGATCCTGGTAATTTATTTATATCCTCGTTTTTAATGTGGGTTTGTCTTCTAAAACTGATAATATGTTACAAGTCGTCGGTTGCAAATCCAGCTTTGAGGAACGTGATCGGAGATATGGTGTTAATGCCTAGTTTGTTGAGTGCATCGGTGATATTAGAATGCGGAATAGTGGGGGAGACATTTGAGATAATAATCCGTTTTGATGGGTTTACAAGTTTGCGTATGACAATATTGTGATTATTTACACTGATTGAGGGATATTGATTAATTATATCACCAGCTATATTTTTATTAGAGAAGTATACGCAAAAACGGTTGTTCGATACTCTAGAAGCAAATTTAATATTCGACGGGTTAGTTAGTATGCTTAATGCTTTTATGTACTCAATTTGAGGAATTCCGTCTATTGTGTTAAAGATAATTGCTTGATCTTTTTTCGGGAGGAGAAGTTTGCAGTGGTTTCGGCGAACGATTTGTGTGTGTGGTTTTCTATTTGTAGGTCTAGAGGTGGAGAGTTTAAAGATGTAGGTTGGTTATTTTTATTTTGTATGATTTTTGGAGAGTTTGAATTAGATCGGGGTCGATTGGAGGACGTGTTTGAATTTAACACTTGATTTTTCGTTAACGATCTATTACCGGTGGTATTTGTTGACCGTTTTAGGAACGGTTTCAGTTGGGGTATAACGGGCTTATCGCCCATTATAGCTCAGTTGGGATTTATTAGAAAAAATTCCACATTTTATACGTTTTAAGGGTTATTATGTTATAAAACATATATTTCAGCCCGTTCTGTATACGGTGTTGAAAAATCAATGTAACTTGGTCTCTAAAAGCTCTACATACATTTATCTACGTCTCTTTTATCTTTAAAATATTGAACGATAGCATTGATAGTCCGGACTATTGGAAAAACTTTTATTCATTATTTTAAAAACAATGATTTTATAAAAAGAACAATGACTTACTAGGGCAAGTTCTTGTATAAAAAACAAAACATAAATGACATAAATAGCCGAGCAACTGCATTGGCGGTTATCTTAGAAAATAATGGTGTATCAGTTTTAAAACCATAAAACACCCACCCACCCTAACAAAAAATTTTAATTAGCAATTTAATTTTTGTATACTAGTTATAAATACAAATAAAAAGATATATATATATATATAGGTAATTATATATAGGTAATTTAAATGATTTTTTTTACTGCCGTGTACCAAAAAATTAAATTTTCAGACATCTATTGTTAATTATTACAAAGTAAATTTAAAAATATACATATAAATAACATATTAAATACTACTAAACATAAACATTCTAAAACACATAATATGAACGGTATAACAAATATAAAAATTATGTATATGAAATATAAGAAAAATAATGGAATACAGGTACAATAGGTAACATTATATACATAATAAAGTAATAACAATCATAAATATTAATACACTTATTCACACCAAAATTTTCATTAATGCCGAACTTTCTTCGGTAAAACTTTTCAGTATATTGTTATGGTCAATAACTTCTGAAATATCTCATTCACAACTTATGATCAGTAGATCTTCTAATCTACTCTCTGTCATCGTTGTCCTTAATCTCGACTTGACAATTTTGAGTTTTGAAAAACTCTCTCAGTTGATGCGCTAGAAACTGGAAGGGTAAGTGCAATTTTCAGGGCTGTACTTAACTCTGGAAATAATGTTGCCAAATTGTTGTCCAGGACTACCTTGTACATTGTACACATTTCTCATATTGTATGCGTTTATTTGTTTTATTGGAATGCGCAATGGTAGGACTATTTCTTCTTTGCTATTGTCTGAATCAACATCATCATGACTCTGCATTTCTCGGTGAAACGATGGAGGTAATTTCGTGGTTTCTTCAAACATTTTATATATTTGACAAAATTTTAAATATTGTAATTTAAAGTCATCTATGTGTATAAATTTACTAAACATTGTAACGAGCCTGCTCGCCTAGGGGCTAATCCTAGACTAAACAGTCGCCGATGGGATCGAGTAAGTGGATCTCGGCTTGAGAACGGAAAGCTACCCCGTGTCTACACTTAAGTAAAACATAAAGTCCCCTTTATATATTTATATGCACCGCACGAGGGGCTAAACGGGCGGTCGTGCCTTTGAATGACGTAACTCTGAAGTATGCAACTATAACTATTTATTTATAAGGTAAAACTAACTATACAATATATATATACAGGGTGATCCAACTAACGTAAGACACTCATTTTCTCTGAAAGTATGAATATTTTGCGAATTTTTTTTTTTCTAAAATTTTAGGTACATATTTAACTACATTTTTCAATATTTCGAAAAATTTTATCTTCAACCTTTATACGTTAAAGAAGTACGAACCTCGTTTTTTCAAATGGGAACATATGTTTTAAATTA